AAAGATGTGTATTCAGAGGAGAAAAAGGAAGATAACTCACCTACTCTACAACTAAGTAGAAGATTTTGTGTTAGTGAAAACAGCATTTATGAATAAAATGGTGAAACCGTTGTTCCACTTGGTTCATCCAATGATATATGATAAGTTAGAACTTTATAACTTAAGAATAATTTATTATTGAGGCCTTTTAATTTAACCCTATATTCTAATATAAAGACGTGTCAAATGATACGATTTCAATATTATTAGACCATACTAGTTGACTCACCGTCAAATGAGGGAATTGGGTAAGATTACAAAGTCCTAAAAAATTATTTAATTTATATTTCTAATTTTCTTTTAAGTAGATTTTTCCTATGAAATGGTTCTAGATTATGTATTATTAAACTTGCTTGCTTATTACCACAACCCTAGAATGGTAGCACACTACCCTCACCCTTTAACAGCAAGATAAGGAGTTTGAGGCTTGTATAGAGGTAAGAACCTATTCTTGCAACCTCTTAGAGTTGGGTTCGATTTCTGTTGAATGTGTGAGTCATATTGTTGAACAACTGTTTGGTTTCTCGTTGGAATTGCATGTTTGGATATTGAATTAGTGAGAATGTGGGTGCTCTTGGCGTGGGGTGGGTCATCATTCATCAAGTCATTGATTGTCCATGTATCACATGGTTAGTACATTAATCTGATCGAGACTCAATTTTTTGAATCTAAAACTTACGTTTGACACAATCTGTTAGCTTTTTGTGGCTATATGTCCCGATCTGTTAGCTCTTTGTGGCTATATGTCCGTCTATTTGATTTTCAGGAATTTGAGTCAAATTTTTGTAATATGAAAGCATTTGGGTGTAAATAAAAAAAAAAAAAAAGAATATGGGTGAATTTGCATTTAAGTTGCATTCCCCATGGTATCAATAGAAAAATCTTGATATATATTTTCTTTTCTTTTTTTGTTATTTAAAATATGAACCTAATTAAATTAGTATATAAACTCTAAAATTGGAACGAGCCCCACTTAAAGGTACCCCCCAGCGAAGCAATTGGACAGAATATTTGACGTGTACACCTACGTCAGGAAAGAGGAAAAAGCTATCGAGCACAGTTGTTTCTGGGCCCAGCCCAAGTTTTACACCAAACCCAATCAAAACAAGATGTAAAAGTAATTTTGATGGGTGAAGAAAACCTTTGTACCACTGCTGACGTGTCAACATTTGAATGGAACACTCTGGGTCCAACATATGGGATATGCAACCTTTGAATGATGGTCTGTTACTGTCACCTTTTTCAAATAACTTTTTATCTTCAGAAAAAGGCAAAAGGAGGAAAAAAGCACATGGAAAGTTTCAGACATGTTGATATCAATTGTATGATGTTCATCTTTGAAAATGTTACTCAAAATTAAATTAAACTTTACATCGATTCAATAGAAACACTGCAGTGTCTAGTAATCTAAGCAAAGAGAATAAGCACATCTTACTCAGTCTCGACCGCTTATAACTGGTGTTTTAGGAGCAATACATACCTTCGATAAACAAAATATGAAAAGAGATGGATCGAAATATAATACAGTATATGTCATTAATAATAACTAGGACAACTCGATTGATTCGATCAAAATATTCCTGAGTCAACTAATAATCAATCAATTGAAATTTTTTATTTATACGATAAATACTAGAATAAAAAAATGTTGAGCAGAATATCACTCGTCTAAAGTTAGATTAAAGTTTAAAGGATGAAACTTAGTCTCACACCACATACGGAAGGATTTTTACATATTCGATCAAGATCTCTCTATTTGTATACTGGTCAAATGATTCTCATTGTTTGACTTATTCCTTTGAAATTTCACCCTAACTCGAGGGTATGCATGCAAACTCATTTGGATGGAGATGTGTGATGTTGTGATGATTCCCTCTGGGCCCCATGCTATTTCACAGAGAGCTGCTAGTCGGGCATGTGGGCCCGGCCCCTTTTTCTTCTGTATGATCTATTTTAAGTGGGCCAAATTTTACCAACCTTACGTTATTACAAGTTTTTGTGTGGTTATTTGTTTATAAAGTTGTTTAACTAATCCAACAGTTAGATGAATAGTTGAGGCATCTCTGACTCTGATGGTTGTGTCTTTTGTATAAATTTGATGGCTAGATAACAAGTTGTAGAATGGGTGGCATCTATAAAAGATTTCTGAGCCATCTCAAGGTAAATACATATCAAAAACACAAATGAACTCGGGTATTTAACTACGAATATAAGTGTCATTTGAACCAAAATAATTTATTCACAGCGAGAGAGAGAGAGAGAGAGAGAGAGATGTGTGACGGTGAAGAGGGCATTAAGTTTAAAGTCATAGTTATCATAGTGTCATCTATATCTATATTCTTTTTTTCATTGTTCTGTCTATAGTAAGACACAATTTACTTTTTTTATTAGACAGTTGATTGATCCTTTCTTTTTTTTGGATTCGTGATTTTAAAATAAACTTGAAATGTACTTTACTATGTTGAATCTTATGGGGTAGTATGAATTGTAAATTCAGACATTCTAAGTTCGAATCTTGACAATTTTTGGAGTTAGGTTATAGAAAATTTATTCCTCATAAATACCCTAATCCTTGCGTGGTTGACTTACATTTGACCGAATCAAGGAAAAGATTAATTGAGATGCGCATAAGTTAACCTAAACACCTTTGACCGTTAAACCAACAAAAACATTATGTGTTGTTTGATCAATCATGATTAGAGGTGTCCATGGGCCGGGCCATTCTTAGGTAGTGTAGGCCAAATTCTTTACCCAAGTGAGTTATTGGCGCGGGCAGAACTAGTCTTCGGGTAGGGATAGACTATCCACAGCCCAACTTGCGAGTTTATTGGGCGGGTCTGTTTGTAGATTTTTTTATGTACAACTTAATTTAAAAATAATAAATATTTTTGTAACTTAATATTTGTGTAAATTATATTTTACAATCAAAAGTAGAGTCAAAATGGATAAAAATAAAATAATGAATAATTTTATTTTTGATTTAGGGATAAATTAAATCCAATAAAATAAATACATCTCTACTAGGTTGACACGTACTCACTTATCTATCATTTGCATTACTCTACCCTTTAAAACTTGTATACTTAATACATGGAAAATAAAATAATATATTATTTATAGTATCTAAAATTTTAAAACTTTAAATTCCGACATTGAAAAACTTATTTCAAAGTTTCAAATTTAATAGTTTCAAATTATAACTTTTTTTCAAATGAATGATGGGCGGGCTATTGAGTCGGGTTTTCGGGTTAGGTAATGGGTTTGCAGGCAAATTTAAACTCTCTTTTTACAGATATTGAGTTTGGGCGGACCAATTATTGGACCTATCAAGTTTTGGACCAAGTAATAGAACCCATGAGTAATCCGGCCCATGAACATCCCTAGTCCTGGTGTTTTTTGTTGAACTCAAACTTGAGATCTTTCTCTTCAAAAAAAAAAAAAAACTTGAGATCTTTAAATAATAATCCACAAAAAAATTCTCCAAACTATCTAGATAGTCTAAAACAAACTTCAAAATTAAAAAAATAGCAAATTAAGTCCAAATAATTATTTACTTTCGTCGCAACAATAGCCCAATGCTTCTTCGACCATAAGTAAAGTCTAGCAAGTGTGGAGTCGGAAATTTAGCAGGGTGGAGGGGTGGGGTTGGGGTTTTTGTGTTTTCCCAAAGAAGTTGTAATACCTTTCAATTATAATTAAAATATGTAGACACTTGGTTGTTCTAGAAAATTAAAATGGGGTTTTAGTACATCAAAAGGAGTTTTTTTTTTTCTCTTCCAATTATACATAATCAGAGATAATAGTATATTACTCTCAAAAGAACGCTTCGTAAATAAAACGCATATCATTTTTAAAAAATTTATAATTGAGTTCGAGTTAAAGTTTTTTACCTATTCTTGCCAATGAAAAATCTCATATCTACGAACACAACACAGTTTATTACAAAAAAGAAAAAAAAGGAACCGGTAAATTGAAAAAGAAAATCAAGTCAAACATATAATAGAAGATGTTACAATTGTTCATCTTTTAAAATTAAAACAACTTATCTTAGAAAAATATGGTTCGAATTCTAGATATCAATTCACTTATATATTTTCGAGGAATTCTTGTATTTTTTTTAAGAGTGTAGTATGGATTGATTAATTTGAATTAAACCCGAATTAAATTTATTAGTTTTTGGATAGAAATTTCAAGTATTGTGATAAAAATTTTGAAGCCCATTAATCAAAGCCAATATTTGGACAGGGTTTTGAAGTATTTAGATTAGTTTAATTAGAAACCCAACCCAATTTAGCAAGTTTGAATGGCAAAAATGCACAACTCCAATCCAAAAATTATACCCAGTTTAGAAATTGAACCGGGTAACATAGATTTTGACCCGATTATTTTGTATAATTTAAAGCGGCATACACCGAGGGGTTGTCTGGATGATTTTTAAGATAGGAATTTTATTGAATTTATGAAACTCTTTCAAATCCAATCCTTAGGTTTTGTTCATAGGATTGAACAAAATACCATATATAATTCCATGTTTGATACGAATACAGAAAAGACTCGGGGATTAATCACAAGATATTGCTACCAAATTGCCTAAATCCACCCAAATGGGCCAAACCAACCCATCCAATAGGGTTTTTAAAACCCTTATAAATGAATTTTACTTGCGGCCCTGTTACAGTCCCGATTCATATCTCAGACCTGAAATCTACAATCAAACAAGAACTAGGGTGATGCATTGGATTTTTTTGACGAAGCCCACTCTATGAAACCCACCAAAACCCATGAACCAAACATGCTTGAAAGTGTTATTAAACCCGGACCTGACTTCCGGGTTAATCGGGAAACCAGTTGTCTAGGCCGGGCTGGGTTCCTATTTGGCCGGTTAATGTAAAAACCCGGCGAAAATCGGTTTGACCCGGATATTTTTAGCCTTAGGCTTCTCAGTCGCTCAACTCACTGTCGTCACTCTCTCTCTCTCTCTCTCTCCATAACTCTCAGGGCACGATCTCCGTATCTCTCTGACTCGCATTCGCACTCGGCAAGCCAGGTACTTTATTTGTCCTTTATTACTTTCGCCTCTCTGTGGCCATGACGAACACTGCAACAATTCAAAGAAATCTGAAAGCATCTAATTCAAAGGCAATGGTTACGAATTACGATTATTTGTAGTTGCGATTTGTGCAATTTAGAGTGTTTAAACCAATAATTTACTTAAAAAATCCTACCCCCACCTCCCAACACTTCTTTTCCCATTTCCCTTTTTTTTTCTTCTTGTCTTTCTCTTTTCCACCTTCGCCACCGGCTAACACCACCGTCGCCTAGATCCACTGACGAAGAACTCCCCTAGATCCAGGTTGGCCTCTCTAACTCCTTCTCTCCCTCGCCTTAATCTATGTATCTCTGTCTCTGTCTCTCTCCACCCCAAATCCAGCGCGCACACACACATACACGCAACACACACAGTCCCCCCTTCTCTCTCTCTCTCTCTCTCGCACCTCTCTGTCTTCCCCTCTCTCCAGTGGCGCACACACAGTCGCACACATCACGCACGGGCACCGGCATCAGCACACACACACCCCAACACAGCAACACATACACACACCCCAACACAGCAACACACACACACACACACAGAACAACAGCACACGCAACACACACGGACACAACATAGTCACATGGTCACACACTTGCATTCATGTTTGTTAATTTGGGTGTTTATTGTTAGTTTGGGTATTTTGTAGGGAATTGAATATTGGGTTTTCTAATTGGGTGTTTTAATGTTAATTTGCGTGGTTAGTGTTAGTTTGGGTATTTTGTAGGGAATTGAATATTAGGTTTTCTCTAATTGGGTGTTTAATGTTAAGATAATTTATTAATCTGGGGGTTTTGTAGGAAATCTCCCCTCTTTCTTTCTTTCACAGGCCCATCTGGAATGCATATCACTTGTTCGTTGAAATGCCTAAGCAAGATCACCTATTTGTTGAAATGTCTTTTTTTTAGTTATTGACTCATTGCTGTAATTACTCGAAGAGTTACTTGACTTTTAGTTTTAAATAATAACCATTTTACTAGGTGACATTGTACATTTTAATTGTGGAGGTTGTTTAGCATTAACACAAATAATTAGGATAATTAGCATTTTCTAAGCATTAACAGAATGGTTTGGGTCTATTATAATTTATAATGTCTTAATATAAACTTAAATAGTCTTCAAGTAATTTGCTTTGTTGTCTTTGTTATGCTGGTTTTTAATACAAAGTTAGTTAAGTTTGTTGCTTAAGGTTCAGTTTCTTCGATATGGGCTATAAACTTTTATTCATTGTGTGATGTAGCTCTTCAATATCATTGGTTTCATGCTTCTCCATAATGTTGTAATCTCTTAGTGCAATTATATGCTAGAATTTTGTTAGGTTCTTTTCTTTTTAGCAAGTAGTAGGGTTGGCAAAGAATCATTTGGAGTATACAGTGGATTTGTTTAACAAGTCTATTTAACGTTGGTATATGATTTAAAGAAATGCAATTGCACGCTATTCTAATATTAGTGTGTCCAGTGTAGAATCTTGTTTGGTTCTTTTCTTTTTAGCAAGTAGTAGGGTTGGTAATTGGGTTGGCAAAGAATCATTTGGAGTATACAGTGGATTTGTTTAACAAGTCTATTTAACTTTGGTATATGATTTAAAGAAATCCAATTGCACGCTATTCTAATATTAGTGTGTCCAGTGTATTTTTCTTTTGCTCATTGATATCATTGCTTTAAGTATAGATATACTTGGATGGAGATTGAGAGTAATTGGAACTAAAGTAATTGAGATTATTGGAATTAGGATTATTGGAATTTCTTGCTTGAATAGAAAATTTTATGGTTGAGTTGAAATTATGATTTTGTGCTTGAATTGAGCGTTGTTCCATGGGGACCATTGAGATTATCTCTCTCTTTGCTTCAAAGTTGTGTTTATTGAATTTGTTGTTCTATTGTCATTCCCATGCTTTTGTTGGGTTTTGATATTTTGGTTTGTGTGAAATTAAGAACTTTGACACCTTTGTCTAGTTACCTAAGTGTCTTTGCGCTTTAATAAGACCACAATTTATGATTTGTGGCAAAGAATTTGGTGCTTTGTTTGGGAAATTTTACATTGCATTCAATGGTGTGTTCAGGAATTGGGATGAGCCATGTTTTTTCTAATGAGCGATTTATTTTGTTATACAGTACTTTCAAGCATGGGATCATTGCTAGTATTTATATATTGACCTATCAGTTTTATTCGAATTTCTGTGTTTGTTGACTAGTAAGAGATTGTTTATGATATGGAAACAATGGAGCGATTAAGGATTCAATTAGAAGAATGGATACCTCAAGTTGAAGAAAAGTTCCGACAAATGCCTCCAATTCAAATCTTGATCGCACTGGGAGTTATATTTTTGACATACGTTATTTTCTTAGTTGGTAATTCCCATCATTCCCTTGCCCTTAATACAATGTTTAGTTCTTAATCTCATATTGTTATTTGAATTTGTAGAGGAGTCAATTCTTTTTCTATTATTTACAAGTTACAACTACATGTTGTAATCATTTTTCTGTAGATTGTGAAGCACTTTTTCCCTCCTTCATGATATTGACATAGCATGAATGACATAAATGGAATGATTTAGGAAGCATTTTGGAATGCATGCTTTCTATTTTTTTTTGGGTCCAATGACTAGGCTACACACCAGGATCCCCCTTGACTGAACGCCTCTGACCAAGATTAAGGCGGGGTCTATTTCCAGGTTTTTGGTATAGCTACCTTGAGATTTTACAAGCTACACTAGCTGATGCCTTCAAAATGAAACACATTCTTATTCATGTTACTTGTATAGATTAAATACATACACATGGAGATAACTTGAGAGAGAGAAAAGGTAGAAATTGGATCTTTGCCCAAAAAGGTTGAAGGGGTTAGGGTTTCTTGACTGACATCCTCATATTTGAAGATTGCAGACTTTGAGAATGAGATTATTTCCATTTAATTTTTTGGTGGGATCTTTTTATTTATTCTTTTGGGGATAAGCGCATATCACTTAGCTGAAAATAAAGTTTTATAAAACAGTCATAAGATCAATTATGCTTTATGATACCGAGTATTGAGCACCCAACATGATAAAAAATTGAGTGGGGTGGAAATGAGAATGTTAAAATGAAGATACGTTAAAATTAGGAAGGATGAAATTATGAATACAAATATCCATGTCGTGTTGCAATTTTTTTTTTTTTTAAAAAAAAAAATATCCGTGAAAAAGTAGTAGTAGCACACATAGGAGATAAATTAAAGAGTAATGTAATAGATATTGACAGTAATTTAAAGAGTAGAGCCAAAATTAATTTTAAATGAAATAGTAAAAAAGATATAATAATTTATGGTTTAACAAAAAAATATATTTTTTAGTAGAATACAAAGGAGAAACGAAATATATGTAGCCACCTAAAAAATGTTGGATCACAAGTATTTCCATTTACTGTTTGTCTCTGTTTAAAATGCCTTGTGGGGTGGCAAAAAGGATTGAGAGTATGATGAGAGATTTTTTATGGGAGAGTAGGAGTGAGATTAAGAAAGATCATTTAGTTAGTTGGGAGGTGGTGTCAAGGTCAAAAGCAAAAGAAGGGTTTTGGTGAGAAATTTGGAGGCAAACAATATAGCTTTGGTTGGAATGTGACTTTAGAATAAAATTCATTATGACATTTGGTTATTTAGAGCAAGTATGACTTGTAGGCTAATGGATGGGACGCTAATGGGGTCAACAGATGGTGGTAATTATTAAGGTTTTTAAAATCGGGATCCTACCTTGGATTGGTAGGGCTGACTGTAGGATTGGATCGAGAATCGTAAGAACCTACTTATTAAAGAAAAAAGAGAAAAAAATGGTAAAATACATTCAACAATAGATAAAACATACCTTTTAAATGAGAAATCTCTGCGACAGAGATGAAGTCGAGGAGTGCAATTGTTGTCGCTGGGCTAGGAGGACTTCTACGTCCATGAGAGAGACGAAGTAGAACAGTGGAACACTTGAAGTCTCGAACAGACTTCTACATCCTCATCTACGAAGAGGAACAGGAAGACACACGCCCTAATTATTTTATTCTAATATGGGGGTATAGGCTTATGGGATGGCTATATCCATATATCAGTGGGCTGCCAACAGAAAAATGGAAAAAGCCCAAGTCAGCCCACTGTTATTTTAGGCCAAAAATAGGATCGCAAAAAATCGTGTGTGGATCGAGATCCTACGATTCTAATCGATCCCACTCTCGATCCTACTAGGTTACGATTTTTAATACGATCCAAATCAATTTATCATATTTGGATCATGGGATCATGGGATCATGGGATTGTATGAGTAGGATCACCATTTTAATAACCTTGGTAATTATTGAAGCTTGTGGAAGTTCATTTCTCAAGGGCTATCTTCCTTCTCTCAANGATTTTTAATACGATCCAAATCAATTTATCATATTTGGATCATGGGATCATGGGATTGTATGAGTAGGATCACGATTTTAATAACCTTGGTAATTATTGAAGCTTGTGGAAGTTCATTTCTCAAGGGCTATCTTCCTTCTCTCGAATGATCAAGTTTATTGTGGGTAATGGGTGAAAGTTCATTTTTGGGAGGACTTTTGGGTTTAGAGAGTAGGTGTTTTCAAGTTTATTCCCTCTGTTGTTTCATCTCTCTTGCTATCATGGTGTTAGGTCGTTTCTTCGATTAGAATGCATTTTTAATGAAGATTCTTTGGATAAAAGGTGTTGGGTCATTGACTCTTCTGGTACTTTTTTATGTAAGTTTTTGTTTGATTCCTTAATTAATGATCCTTCACTTTCTACATGTCACCCGGCATTGAGTTAGTGTAGGGGGGACCTCAATTGTTTTATTTCGGTTTTTGGCTGTGAGTTAGAGTGAAAAATCTCTCCCATTAATTTGGTTTAGTGAAACCACTGTTAGAGTAAATTCGTCATGTTTTGTGCTTTTAGTCCAGCTCTTTGGTTTCTTGAATCTTGATTGAAGGTTCGCCGATTGGCCTGTGTTGATGAATATTTCTTTACTGAATTACTTTGCAGTTTTCTTGCTCAATCGCAAACCACCATCAGATACCATTATTCTTAGTGGGCTTAGTGGCAGTGGCAAAACTGTTCTCTTTTACCAGGTAGGCACTTGATGAAAATGGTTTCATTAACACTGACTCGTGAAATATTTCAAATTTTTAGAATTGATTAAAGCTATAGCAAATCTGTTGTCTGATGATATTAACTCGATGCTTATGGTATGGTGGTTTAATAATGGGCGTTAAAAAGGATTAGATGTCAGTTAGCTTGAAACCATTTTTTTGTTGCCTTCAACGTCGGGTTGAGCGTAATTTATGTCTATGAAGAAGTCAAGTTGTTGGCACCACTTAAATGGATTATGCTCTCAGTAAACAGTTTCTTAAAGTTGTCAGTTTGTCAAGGTTTGCTGTGTATTCTTGGACTGCGATTTTTTTTTTTAATTTCTTTGTTCAACATATTTCGTTTTTTCATGGGGTAGGGTGGGGTTGTTTGAGCATGGTTACCTTGTTTACTGGTATTGAGCCTTTAGCTTGCTGAGTTAAATGCTTCAGTTACCTGGGTGACCTTTAAGATGATGATCTCTGTCAAATTTTCGTTGATTCTATAAATCTACTCGTTAGTTTGTTGAAGAATTACCTGTGTATTCCGATAATGGATGCCCACTTGTCATACTTTTTATTCGGAAAAGACATGCTATGAAGTTTGTGGTTTTTGATTTTACTGTACATATACATTTGAATCCTATGCCAGCTTCGAGATGGATCATCCCATCAGGGTACTGTGACGTCGATGGAACCGAATGAAGGTGTTTTTGTGCTGCACTCTGAGACAACCAAGGTACTACACTTGAATTAGGTTTGCCAAATCATATATGATGGGGAGCGTGATCAGTTAAATACTTATATACCATTAAAGGCAGCTTTTTTCTTAACGAGGTGATGCTTTGTCTTTCCTATAAACTTAAAATGTACACTGACCTACCTCTTTGTTACTTGCAAGCNATATATGATGGGGAGCGTGATCAGTTAAATACTTATATACCATTAAAGGCAGCTTTATTCTTAACGAGGTGATGCTTTGTCTTTCCTATAAACTTAAAATGTACACTGACCTACCTCTTTGTTACTTGCAAACCTTTCTAAAACTGGATATATGATATACACCAGTATAGCTGTCTGGCTTCTGTCAATGCATGCAAAAAGTTGTCTAACAACTTAATTGAATCAATTTCTTTCACTGGCAGAAGGGCAAAATCAAGCCTGTACGCATTGTCGACGTTCCTGGGCATTCTCGTCTTCGGCCCAAACTAGATGATTACTTGGTTCGAGCAGCTGGCATAGTTTTTGTGGTGGATGCTTTGGAGTTCTTACCAAACTGCCGTTCCGCTTCAGAGTACTTATTTACACTTTCCAGTTTATGAATGCTTGCATGATATGCGTGTAACAAACATGCCAATGGATAAAGGCACACACAGGTTCTAACATCTGATGTCTTATGTGTCCAAGGTACCTATATGATATTTTGACGAAGTTTATTGTTGTCAAGAGGAAAATTCCAGTGCTCATCCTCTGCAATAAAGTGGACAAGGTTACTGCACATACCAAGGAGTTCATCAGGAAACAGCTAGAAAAAGAAATGTATGATACAACTCCGTCTTTGTTAGGCGTTTCGTCTTGGGATACTACTTTTATAGTGCCTGCAAACTTTGACTGGTGATACAAACTTAAGCTGTCAATATTATTGAGCCTCTTTAGGCTTCTTGCTTGCTTGTCACAAGTGATGAGGGAGGGAAACATCTGCCTTGTTTCAAAATAAGTCATTTTGTTCCCCTCCCCCCAAAACAAAAACAAAAGAAAACCCACCCTCCCACCCACCCACCTAAAAAAAGGAAAATAATAATCTCATGCTTCTTGTAATACATTAGGCCCTGCCAACTGAGAGCTGTTGAATTGTTATTTTGCATTGTGCAATTGGCAAGTTGCTCACAATGTCTGTGGTTCATTACTTCAAGTGATGTGTGGTGATTTGCACTGTACTTGATCTTTTCTCTTCTGTATTGTTCCACAGTGACAAACTCCGGGAATCAAGAACTGCTGTATCATCGGCTGATATTGCTAATGATTTCACGCTTGGGGTACCTGGAGAAGCCTTTGCCTTCACTCAGTGCGACAACAAAGTGACTGTTGCAGAAGCTTCTGGTTTGACTGGTGATATATCTCAGCTGGAGCAGTTCATTATGGAACATGTGAAGTTTTAATTGGATGTCTAATTTGATATGGAAGGAGTCATCTGGTCCTTCTCCTGGTTGCTGGACCTTTTCCTAGGGGAATATAACAAAATGAATTGCCTGAGAGAAGATACAGGCAAAGAAGGTGGGGGAGCTCTTTCTGGTGCATTCTAATGTTGTGTTCTCTGAACTAAGTTGGAACTATTATGCCCCTTTTTGTCAGTAGATTCCAAATGCTAATACCATTTATATTCTGGTTTTGTTATTAACTGAGGATTGACTTCTTGTTTGTCATTTGTTTCGGAGGGGTTCCTGCTATTAGATTCAGCCTTGAGTATTTGCAGTAGATTACTGTAATGTCCAGGTGGGGAAATTTGTTGGGGGCATTTGGATAATTTGATTGCAATTTGGTTTGAAACGCTGATAAAAACAACTCTAAGTAGCTGCAAGCAGCCCTTATCTTCACCTTTATTGGTGTGTGTTGGTTTCATATTCTTCAGGGATGTAATATTACCAGTCTTTAATTTTTTTTCTATGGAGAAACTAGTAATCATTTTTTGGACTAGATGCTGTACATGTTATATTAAGTTAGTAATAAAGGTATATATTTTTTTACATCTGAGACTACAGTGATTGATCTTAGTAACCCAAACTTTATGATCCAATCAGTCTTACCAAAATCGAGATAATTAAAATTGTCCACCACATAATTTTCTTAGATCCGTTATATATGGGAGCCTTGTGCACTTAATATGTGTGTTTTTTTCATTATTTAGTCATAGGCTTTAGGAAGTGAAATTTGCAGTGTTCTTTAATACTATGGTGTGGTCCTTCGGCACAGTGCATAGAATTGCCCACTGTAGCTTTGAGCAATAATTCAATTCCATACTGTCCCACTTGTAGATAAACAACAAAACACCCAGCTCATTTGTGGGCAACTCTGAGGCATGTGCTACAGTAAAACTTCCAAGTATGGACCTTAAGCTAGTTGTCTCTTGGGACAAATAGCCATCAACTAGCTACTTTTTGGTCACAACATGAATGCATCAATACAAAAGAGTAATGTTTTTTTTTGGTATAATAAATAGATATGTACATAAATCACTTTACATATCCATTAAGAAATATTTTCTTTCATTGCCACATAAACCCCACTGCATCAATGTCGGGCCCGAAACTAAGGTTTGATCACGTGTTTTGAGCGTTAAAGAGTAAGTTTAGCTCTCTCGAACTGTCATTGTAGTCAAGAATCCGAGTTCTTATCCACTGGATCAGTCGTATGGTAGTAAAAGAGTATTATTATTGGGGCATAACAAACTGACCTAATTTGTTTGCATAATAATATTTTATGTGATGAAATTTCAATAGAAAAGTTTGAGAGTTACAATAATAACACTATTATATCATAGTCTTTTGATCAATTTCTTTAGGTCCCGCCAGCATTACATTCGAAAAAATGTTTGTTATATATGGTCCTCTAGGTAGGGGCCTAGGAGCAAAGAGGGGGTGGACAAGCAGTACAAAAAGATTTGGTCTTCATGGCACGTGCATGCAGGTGGGGGTGTGAAGTTTGTTACAGGTAAGTAGGTGTTGGGCATTAAGAGGGAGGAAATAAGTAGAGAAAGTGGGAGGAAATGACACAGAAAGTAGAATTGAGCACTTCCCATTGTCAATTATACTTGCTTTCTTTCAAGAAAGACAAATCCTAAGATGCCTCCTTTCTCTCTCCACACACTCTTCTAGAAACCTCCCCTGGCCTCAGATATGGTAAAACTCTCTGCACTTTCACNAATTTGATTGCAATTTGGTTTGAAACGCTGATAAAAACAACTCTAAGTAGCTGCAAGCAGCCCTTATCTTCACCTTTATTGGTGTGTGTTGGTTTCATATTCTTCAGGGATGTAATATTACCAGTCTTTAATTTTTTTTCTATGGAGAAACTAGTAATCATTTTTTGGACTAGATGCTGTACATGTTATATTAAGTTAGTAATAAAGGTATATATTTTTTTACATCTGAGACTACAGTGATTGATCTTAGTAACCCAAACTTTATGATCCAATCAGTCTTACCAAAATCGAGATAATTAAAATTGTCCACCACATAATTTTCTTAGATCCGTTATATATGGGAGCCTTGTGCACTTAATATGTGTGTTTTTTTCATTATTTAGTCATAGGCTTTAGGAAGTGAAATTTGCAGTGTTCTTTAATACTATGGTGTGGTCCTTCGGCACAGTGCATAGAATTGCCCACTGTAGCTTTGAGCAATAATTCAATTCCATACTGTCCCACTTGTAGATAAACAACAAAACACCCAGCTCATTTGTGGGCAACTCTGAGGCATGTGCTACAGTAAAACTTCCAAGTATGGACCTTAAGCTAGTTGTCTCTTGGGACAAATAGCCATCAACTAGCTACTTTTTGGTCACAACATGAATGCATCAATACAAAAGAGTAATGTTTTTTTTTGGTATAATAAATAGATATGTACATAAATCACTTTACATATCCATTAAGAAATATTTTCTTTCATTGCCACATAAACCCCACTGCATCAATGTCGGGGCCGAAACTAAGGTTTGATCACGTGTTTTGAGCGTTAAAGAGTAAGTTTAGCTCTCTCGAACTGTCATTGTAGTCAAGAATCCGAGTTCTTATCCACTGGATCAGTCGTATGGTAGTAAAAGAGTATTATTATTGGGGCATAACAAACTGACCTAATTTGTTTGCATAATAATATTTTATGTGATGAAATTTCAATAGAAAAGTTTGAGAGTTACAATAATAACACTATTATATCATAGTCTTTTGATCAATTTCTTTAGGTCCCGCCAGCATTACATTCGAAAAAATGTTTGTTATATATGGTCCTCTAGGTAGGGGCCTAGGAGCAAAGAGGGGGTGGACAAGCAGTACAAAAAGATTTGGTCTTCATGGCACGTGCATGCAGGTGGGGGTGTGAAGTTTGTTACAGGTAAGTAGGTGTTGGGCATTAAGAGGGAGGAAATAAGTAGAGAAAGTGGGAGGAAATGCAAAAGAAAGTAGAATTGAGCACTTCCCATTGTCAATTATACTTGCTTTCTTTCAAGAAAGACAAATCCTAAGATGCCTCCTTTCCCTCTCCACACACTCTTCTAGAAACCTCCCCTGGCCTCAGATATGGTAAAACTCTCTGCACTTTTTCAATTGAGAGAGAGAGAGAGAGAGAGAGAGNAAAGCCTCATTTGTCCCCCTTGAACTTTTTGCTTCTCTTTACCAAGAACAGGTAATAAAATATGTATCAGTGCTCCAAATCTAATTGGCATGCAAGTGATTGTAGAATTAAAACAGTTCACTGCCTTTGATGCATAATATATGCTATAATCTCTCTCTCTCTCTCTCTCTCAAGCCAAAGGAAGAAAGTTTTCATCAAGAAGTGGATGCTCAGAATGCCTTGGACAAGCACAGTCCATCCCTGGCCATCTCGTCCGACGAAGAAGAGGAAGATGTTCCTACTGTGAATCATGTTGTCAATAAACGTAAATTTACCTAACCTCTCTAAGTTATTAATTGAAACTTTTTTGTGGACACTGCTAGACCTATTTCTGACTCGGTCTGGTCCCTTTACAGCCCCAGAAAAGAGACAACGAGCTCCATCAGCTTATAACTGCTTCATTAAGTAAGTACTATTCTGCGTTCAATTGAAATCTTTTGTCAAAAGGGAAATAATATATATTATATGCTTACATAAAGTATAAACATGCATAGCAGAGAAGAGATCAGAAGGCTCAAATCTATCTATCCCAGCATGACTCACAAGCAAGCCTTCAGTGCAGCTGCTAAAAATGTAAGTTTCAAGTAAAATGCCAATCTTCACTACAAAAAGTTTCCATTCCATGGAGAATCTAAGAAGAATCATTGAAATGTTTGATTATGATCAGTGGGCCCAATTTCCACCAAGTCAACAAAAAGGAGGAGAGAGCTGTAGCCAGGGAGAGAGAAAGCTACAAAGGCTGTCAGATGTTGAAGAGGTAATGATTCCAAAATGATTTACAAGCTTTGAGATGGTTTCCATTTCTTATTTGTGACTTAAATTCCAGATTTCAGTTAATCACCACAAGCATGACATGCCTAGGTGGTAAACAAACCACCATGCTAGCTTAATTCCCCTGCATTTATTGGTTTGATGATAAAATGCCATTTGATTTTTTCATTTAGTTCTTACTTTGTAACATTGGGCTTACAAGTTGGACTCGTGGAACAAACTCCCAAAAAAGTAAAATTACATATATCTGATTTTTTGGACTGTTTTTTTATTTTTCATCAATGGATTGTCTGGTTAATGGGATTGGGTGGCTTTGAAAAATGAGTTGAGTAAAAATAGTTCAAATGACACACAAAACTCATGTTTGACCAAAAATTTAAAGTCTGGGTTACTAAACCTGACCCGCTATTGACCCAAACCTTAAACCCTAGATCATGAGTTTTATCAAACCCATGGGGGGTGGGTTTTGGAAGAGGGTTAATGGATTTAAGATACAAAAAGATAATTATATCCTATATGTATACAAACAAGAGTTTGGATTAGATTGGTGAAGANCTTTGAAAAATGAGTTGAGTAAAAATAGTTCAAATGACACACAAAACTCATGTTTGGCCAAAAATTTAAAGTCTGGGTTACCAAACCTGGCCCGCTATTGACCCAGACCTTAAACCCTAGATCATGAGTTTTATCAAACCCATGGGATGGGTTTTGGAAGAGGGTTAATGGATTCAAGATACAAAAAGATAATTATATCCTATATGTATACAAACAAGAGTTTGGATTAGATTGGTGAAAAGACATAATAGTCATTTATATACAAATATATTATCATAATAGTGATATATCCGTGGACATATTAAACATGGGTATGAACTTGATTTAATGTTGAATTTCATCTTTGTAAAGAGGGGTTTGAGTTTGAAAAGGTTTGGACAAATCAATTCAAACCTCTCCCAAAAAATCATCCAAACAACCCCAATAGTAATGTGTTCATAGTATAAAGGTTTTTGAAATCATTACTTTCTAAACCTCGCTAGCATATCGTTTTAGTAAAATAATCATCTACTATCTTGAAATGAACGTAAGTGCATGTCTTCTGTTATTGTGGGATTTAAGAAGAGTTAGATGTACGTAATTTTGATCCCATATGCGGAGCAACTGTTTCTGCAACTCAAAACCCTNTCCCAAAAAATCATCCAAACAACCCCAATAGTAATGTGTTCATAGTATAAAGGTTTTTGAAATCATTACTTTCTAAACCTCGCTAGCATATCGTTTTAGTAAAATAATCATCTACTATCTTGAAATGAACGTAAGTGCATGTCTTCTGTTATTGTGAGATTTAAGAAGAGTTAGATGTACGTAATTTTGATCCCATATGCGGAGCAACTGTTTCTACAACTCAAAACCCTTTGACACCCAGGTGACAACTCGAAGTAACCGTACTACTACTTGAAGACTACACCCTGAATTGTATACTGGGAATTCAAAATCCATGGACTGAACTCAAGTGAAGAGGAACAAGAACAACTCCTGATTGGAAAATGTTATTTTCATAGAATTGATGACACTGATTTGATCCCAAAGCTTGTCTTTTTCTTGGAGTTCAACCACTAGGTGTCAAATTTATGATATGACCATAAATGGAATTTTAACATACAGTTAATTACTCCTCTCAGACTGTATGTTTGTAGAAAATTTTGCCCACTGAAACAGGTTCATGGCTTTCTGTTGCAAAAACTTTTCAGGTCCATGTAGAAGGCAATGATTTACATGAAAGAAAGGGTCCAAAAGGTTTGTGTATGGGCAAAGATACTGTTTGAGTGAAGAGAATCTGTATGCAGTGCCAAAAGAAGAGAGGGCTCTTCTTTTTTGGACAGAGTTAGGGTTTCAATCAGCTTCCCTTCTGAGGTAGATGCTCTTGGGAATGCAGTTTCTCACTGTAATTTGTAGGCAACTTCACTTTTCAAAAGGGTACTAAATGATTGATGTATTTTGAGAATTAAGTTTACAGTTCAGCTCTTTCAAAAACCTGGACGGTAAAAAAAAAAAAATTGTTCATTGGGGTTGGTTTAATAAGGAGTAGGATTAGATTAAGTATCATATATACTTGCTTTCAATAGAAAATCGAGTCATGAAGAATATGTAGTTGCAATAGAAGGCTAATTAATGATCTTACAAAATGTTTCTTCTCATTTTATAGCAAAGAATTTCTTAATTTTGACAGACGATAATTCCGTATTCTAATATTATCATAAAACCCTGACATATTAATGTTGTCAAGATTGAATGATTCATTTTCTCAGATCAGATTTTTGGTTCTTCTTGGTTTCTTCCATTGTCTCCTTCTTCCAAACCTTGGTGCCTTTGCAGCATTTCCACCTGAAATGGAAAACCAAACTCATGTAGCCTAGCTATAACAGTATCAATAGGCAATAGACAAAGTTCTGCACTACGAATTTCCAAAACCTAGCCGTTAATGATCACAGAGACAAAGGCCCGAAATTTTAAATGGCGCAAACGTGTCGATAGGCTGGTTCCAAGCACAACAAAAAATTTGTTAAAGTATTGGCGAGCAATTTGTCATGTTCATAGCAGTTGAATATCGCAGCCTGATATATATAGTAAGAGAAGTTTAGGGACTAAACTTATGCAGGTTCTCCATGAAATAGCTTCGAAANGTTCATCGATGATGACCACATATTTGGTGGCCAAATTTATAGTCACTTGACCAAGAACAATATTATTGAGATTTAATTTATTGATCTAATTTATTATAACTTTTAANCATTTTCAAGCTCATTTTTTGAATATTAAATAGGGTTGAGGAACGTAATGAATATCAACTTGGCACTGTCGATAGAGAGAGAGAGAGAGAGAGCCCCCCCCGGGGGGGGGGGGGGGGTTACAATACAAGTATGTGCATGAGCACGAATGTTGATGTTAATCTATATCATTAGAGCTTATCTCATATCGATATAATGTCTTTTTTCCATTACCAATTTGTTTTGAGTATGATGTCTAAACATATACTATTGATGGGATGCACCGATAAAATATGTTCTTAGAAAAATCAGAAGTCATTCGAGGTTAGAAGTGACACTAGCTGAAGATTGGGGAAGCGGCCTGAGATATTTTAGCCAAGAGGACCGAAGGAAAATGGGATCATTGAGGCCATCAAGAAACATGTAACTAGAATCTAGTTAAACGAGACTAGACCTTAAACAACAGGTTGAAGAAGACAAATTCTTATAGTCGAACATGTAGAAAACGGTCTTTATTGATCCATTTGTTCTGTTACTGTATGTCTTTGGGGAGAGAGAGAGAGAGAGAGAGAGAGATAAGATGAACCTGTAAGCGTTAATAAGGGCCGACTGCTAGCGTTCTCTGCTAGCGCCTTTATGCATTTGTTTTTGTCCATTCGAAGAAGCAAGCTCCTCTCTATAAGATGATGAACCTGCATGTCACATGCCCAAGAGATTTCGTGAATGGAAACTCATAGGATTAACACTTTCAAAAGTAGGTAAATAAAATAACGTCCAAACAAAACACAAAATTCACGTCTCTGTGTGTGTGAGAGAGAGAGAGAGAGCTAGTGACCATTCTAATGTAACTATGTGGGTGGCAATGCAAACAAGGAAATCCATGTTATTTATAAGACATGCTCTTGATAGAAATGGACAAAATAAAGAGTATGAAAGATGCTAAAGAGAGAGGGAATAAGGAAAGCGAACGAATGTAGGAAGGGTAGAAGAATGGGAAGACAGGTATTTGAGGGGTTATATAACAACAATGACAAATGGGAGAGGGGGTAGGAGGGAGAGAGTGCTTGTTATCCTTAGATATCTTAGTGACGGGCCAAACAAGCACAAGAAATCCTGACAAGATTCGCTGCACCTTTCGAGAGGAATAATACTATTTAGACTTAAAATTTTAAAAAGTTTTAGTGTTCATCGATGATGACCACATATTTGGTGGCCAAATTTATAGTCACTTGACCAAGAGCAATATTATTGAGATTTAATTTATTGATCTAATTTATTATAACTTTTGAATTGATTGTAATTCTATTAAATATTAAAATTTGGTGTTAATAGTATTTTTCCTTTACCAATCATCATGCGTATATTTTCATGTGTTGAGGGTCTCACACATTCAAGTGCCATGAATATGGAAGGGGTCCCCCTCGTGGCCTCTTGATTCAGCTATGGCACTAGTTTTGAGACAAAAAAAGGGATCATCAAGCAATGCAAAGTCAGACTGCATAGTCTTTATGGAAGGTCAGACTGCACAGTCTTTGCTACCTCAAGGTGAAACCAAGCAAGTAGCTTGCATTTCAGATCAAACAGAATTTGGGGATTATCATACAACCATGTTATATCATCCAAACTTAAACACATATTTGGGCGTTAGAGAGCTTGATGGAAACACTTACGCTCTATTTGGTTTACATTTTTAAAAAATGACATCTAAAAATTATTTTTGGTGTTTTTTGTGCCTCAGAACTTGTTTGATTGTATGATTCCAAACATAATTCTACGAAATAAAAAACAGTAAAACTTATTTGAATAATAACCCAAAAAACTATGAAAAATAGAAATATGGTGGTAGTGTGGTGGACGTCGTGGTGGTGGGAGTATGGTCGTGGCGTTGCTAGGGGTGGTGTTGCGGATGGTGTTTTCTAAATTCTGGAAAGATTGTTTTCAAAAACACAAAAATAATTCTAACTTATTCTTTAAATTTATCCAATTTTTATTTTCAGTTTAAAAAAAATAAAAATAAAAAAACTAGCCAAACAATTTTTTGCCCAAAAAATGTTTTCGAAAATAAAAAACAGTTTTTGAGATATAAATTAAACAGAACCTTAAAATTTCCGTGGTTAGCAAAATTATTGAGTATTAGATATGTGAGAATTTCATTTTAGATAGAAAAAAAAATGAAAATGTCCTAATATGCTATGAGTGAATTCACTATTGATAGGCTTAAACTTATAGATGAGTTTGAGTTGTAGACATATTCATATTGATACTTGGATTACTAGACTCATACATTTAATCCTATATAGAGTTCGTAGTAGCAAAAATCTCTTGCATCTAGTTGCTCTTTTATTGTTCAAAGCCTGGAAAGGCAATGGCCCAGTTACATTTCTTAATGATTGATCATATCCTCACAAAACAAGAAACAACTGACCGATAAAGAAAAGAGCAATGCTATTGGACTTTATTTGGGATCTAGTTTGAGAATTTAATGATATAACTTCAATACAATTATTGAATTAATTGTGAATTCTAATGTTAGATAGAGTCCACAATCAATCTAATGATTGTACATCATTAAATTCCTAAATTAGATCCAAATAACATTTTCTAGAATAAAATATTTGGCATTCTTTAGTGCTTTAAGGCATCTCCAACCCTGACTCAAATTTAGATTTAAATTTAAATTTAAGTAAAAAAATCTAAAAAACTTGCTACAACCCTTACTTAAACTTATACTAAATTAAGATAAACATTTTTTTACTCAAATTAAAAGAGACTTAAATCTTTACCCAAATTTTTAATGGTGAGATTTCACCCTCTTTTAAAGATCCAATGGTCATCTTTACTCTCATTTAATTTTGGATTTGCCCTCATTTAAATTTAAGTTTCTCCTTATTTAAATTTGAGTAAAAATTTGAGTCATGGTTGGAGATGCTCTAATTTAGACTCAAATTTGAGTAAAAAACTTGATTTTGTATAGAGTACTCTAATGTGCAAACTCAGATATTTACTCAAATCTTTTAAAAAATTTCCTTATTATCCCAAAACTCATTTTTTTGTGTCATTCAAATCATAATATTTGATAAAATAAATAAAACTTTCATCACTCCACAAATGGATAACAAAAAAAATATATATGAATATGTATATAACACTATATGAAAATAAAGAAACCACTCCAGAATTCTAAGATTATTCTAATCCCTTATCATTTTTTATAAATTTAGATAAAGAAAAAAAAATAGTTAACATGGGCATGGTTTGAAGAATACAAAAATATATATTTTTTTAACAAAAATGGATGATTGAAGAAATAAAATGACAAATTTTCTAAATTTGTGGGTACCGAAGGCTTAAAATTTCAGGAAAAATCGGTGGTTTGAAATTATACTACTAATAGTGTATAACGCGAAAAAATCAAAGAAAAATTTCATAGGTAAGCTTAGCGTTTATACAGTATGAAAGATGAGTGAGATTAGGGTTTTGAAAAATACAAGAAATTAAGAAGATGAAAGATGAAAATCAAAAAACTTACCTACAGACCTTCAAATAATTTGTAAAAACTTCGGTGGTAGTCGACGATGGAAGCAGTGTCGCAGAGAAAGGCAAGAAGAGATAGGGAACAAGTACTCAAAGAAGTCTTTTAGTTTTAGTTTTGAATAGGTTAAAAGTTACCGTTAAAAATTTGATATAAAATTTGAGTTTGCTTCAATTTAAGTCCAAAATAAATTTTGTCTTGATTTAGTATGAGTTTGAGTCCAAGGTCGAAAATTTTTTTTAGGCCATTTTGACTCAAATTTAAATTTGAATCTACATTTGAGTCAAAATTAGAGATACTATTACTAGTTGAGTTCTAGTTCCCATATCCATGATAGATATAGACATTATGGCCGACTTGGGAATATCATAGGAAGACCATCATTTTTATCCGGGTATGATCATAGTTTCATTCATTCATTAAGCTATGGGGATAATTATTAGCATTAAGGTCAATCACTATACCACCAAGGGGCAGAGCCAAAATTTTATCCCTTGGAGGCCAGATATTAAGCAAGNTCATGCTTCTTGTAATACATTAGGCCCTGCCAACTGAGAGCTGTTGAATTGTTATTTTGCATTGTGCAATTGGCAAGTTGCTCACAATGTCTGTGGTTCATTACTTCAAGTGATGTGTGGTGATTTGCACTGTACTTGATCTTTTCTCTTCTGTATTGTTCCACAGTGACAAACTCCGGGAATCAAGAACTGCTGTATCATCGGCTGATATTGCTAATGATTTCACGCTTGGGGTACCTGGAGAAGCCTTTGCCTTCACTCAGTGCGACAACAAAGTGACTGTTGCAGAAGCTTCTGGTTTGACTGGTGATATATCTCAGCTGGAGCAGTTCATTATGGAACATGTGAAGTTTTAATTGGATGTCTAATTTGATATGGAAGGAGTCATCTGGTCCTTCTCCTGGTTGCTGGACCTTTTCCTAGGGGAATATAACAAAATGAATTGCCTGAGAGAAGATACAGGCAAAGAAGGTGGGGGAGCTCTTTCTGGTGCATTCTAATGTTGTGTTCTCTGAACTAAGTTGGAACTATTATGCCCCTTTTTGTCAGTAGATTCCAAATGCTAATACCATTTATATTCTGGTTTTGTTATTAACTGAGGATTGACTTCTTGTTTGTCATTTGTTTCGGAGGGGTTCCTGCTATTAGATTCAGCCTTGAGTATTTGCAGTAGATTACTGTAATGTCCAGGTGGGGAAATTTGTTGGGGGCATTTGGATAATTTGATTGCAATTTGGTTTGAAACGCTGATAAAAACAACTCTAAGTAGCTGCAAGCAGCCCTTATCTTCACCTTTATTGGTGTGTGTTGGTTTCATATTCTTCAGGGATGTAATATTACCAGTCTTTAATTTTTTTTCTATGGAGAAACTAGTAATCATTTTTTGGACTAGATGTTGTACATGTTATATTAAGTTAGTAATAAAGGTATATATTTTTTTACATCTGAGACTACAGTGATTGATCTTAGTAACCCAAACTTTATGATCCAATCAGTCTTACCAAAATCGAGATAATTAAAATTGTCCACCACATAATTTTCTTAGATCCGTTATATATGGGAGCCTTGTGCACTTAATATGTGTGTTTTTTTCATTATTTAGTCATAGGCTTTAGGAAGTGAAATTTGCAGTGTTCTTTAATACTATGGTGTGGTCCTTCGGCACAGTGCATAGAATTGCCCACTGTAGCTTTGAGCAATAATTCAATTCCATACTGTCCCACTTGTAGATAAACAACAAAACACCCAGCTCATTTGTGGGCAACTCTGAGGCATGTGCTACAGTAAAACTTCCAAGTATGGACCTTAAGCTAGTTGTCTCTTGGGACAAATAGCCATCAACTAGCTACTTTTTGGTCACAACATGAATGCATCAATACAAAAGAGTAATGTTTTTTTTTGGTATAATAAATAGATATGTACATAAATCACTTTACATATCCATTAAGAAATATTTTCTTTCATTGCCACATAAACCCCACTGCATCAATGTCGGGGCCGAAACTAAGGTTTGATCACGTGTTTTGAGCGTTAAAGAGTAAGTTTAGCTCTCTCGAACTGTCATTGTAGTCAAGAATCCGAGTTCTTATCCACTGGATCAGTCGTATGGTAGTAAAAGAGTATTATTATTGGGGCATAACAAACTGACCTAATTTGTTTGCATAATAATATTTTATGTGATGAAATTTCAATAGAAAAGTTTGAGAGTTACAATAATAACACTATTATATCATAGTCTTTTGATCAATTTCTTTAGGTCCCGCCAGCATTACATTCGAAAAAATGTTTGTTATATATGGTCCTCTAGGTAGGGGCCTAGGAGCAAAGAGGGGGTGGACAAGCAGTACAAAAAGATTTGGTCTTCATGGCACGTGCATGCAGGTGGGGGTGTGAAGTTTGTTACAGGTAAGTAGGTGTTGGGCATTAAGAGGGAGGAAATAAGTAGAGAAAGTGGGAGGAAATGCAAAAGAAAGTAGAATTGAGCACTTCCCATTGTCAATTATACTTGCTTTCTTTCAAGAAAGACAAATCCTAAGATGCCTCCTTTCTCTCTCCACACACTCTTCTAGAAACCTCCCCTGGCCTCAGATATGGTAAAACTCTCTGCACTTTCACAATTGAGAGAGAGAGAGAGAGAGAGAGAGGCACAGACAGATAGGGGACTTAAATAATGTGAAAATAACGTATGAAAAAAACAATGCACTAGTTAGTTTAGTCCCTTGCATTGAGCTCTGGATCTCTGGCACCTGAAGAGATGAAGTTTGCAAGTCTTCTAATCAATGTCAAAGTGACTTTATATACATGAAGAAAGGAAAAACACTAGTCAAAATATATTATGGCTCCGAATTGTTATTTTCACAAAGTGAAGGGTTTGATTGTATGTTGGCAGGAGCTAGCTTCAAACATTATGAATGCTGCTTACACATTAAATTTTTCTAAATTTACCAAAAAATATGGTCCGGTCTCTCTTCATCAAAGCAATAGTCAGAAGTTAATTAATGTCTCATCTTTGGTGTCATCTGCTGTATAAATCCCTCATATCAGGAAGACATTAATCACATTGGCCTTCTTTTCCTTCTTCTTCTTGTTGTTCTTCTTCTTCTCTGTGTGTGTGTGTGTGTTTGTGTGTGTCTGTGTGAACAGATGTCAACATTCAACCATGTACTTGACCTCCAAGATCAAATTTGCTATGTTCAATGTGGTTACTGCACTACCATATTAATGGTACTTTCATCTAATCATCTATCTATTTTACACATTTGATATATGTTTGGTTCTTGGCTAACAGAACTTCTTGTTGATGCTTTACTCTCTCTCTCTCTCCCAACTTAACCTTTTCTTTTTCTATTAATCAAAGCAGGTAAGTGTCCCATGTAGCAGCTTGTCCATGGTGGTTACAGTAAGATGTGGTCACTGCACAAGCCTCCTCTCAGTCAACATGGTGAAAGCCTCATTTGTCCCCCTTGAACTTTTTGCTTCTCTTTACCAAGAACAGGTAATAAAATATGTATCAGTGCTCCAAATCTAATTGGCATGCAAGTGATTGTAGAATTAAAACAGTTCACTGCCTTTGATGCATAATATATGCTATAATCTCTCTCTCTCTCTCTCTCAAGCCAAAGGAAGAAAGTTTTCATCAAGAAGTGGATGCTCAGAATGCCTTGGACAAGCACAGTCCATCCCTGGCCATCTCGTCCGACGAAGAAGAGGAAGATGTTCCTACTGTGAATCATGTTGTCAATAAACGTAAATTTACCTAACCTCTCTAAGTTATTAATTGAAACTTTTTTGTGGACACTGCTAGACCTATTTCTGACTCGGTCTGGTCCCTTTACAGCCCCAGAAAAGAGACAACGAGCTCCATCAGCTTATAACTGCTTCATTAAGTAAGTACTATTCTGCGTTCAATTGAAATCTTTTGTCAAAAGGGAAATAATATATATTATATGCTTACATAAAGTATAAACATGCATAGCAGAGAAGAGATCAGAAGGCTCAAATCTATCTATCCCAGCATGACTCACAAGCAAGCCTTCAGTGCAGCTGCTAAAAATGTAAGTTTCAAGTAAAATGCCAATCTTCACTACAAAAAGTTTCCATTCCATGGAGAATCTAAGAAGAATCATTGAAATGTTTGATTATGATCAGTGGGCCCAATTTCCACCAAGTCAACAAAAAGGAGGAGAGAGCTGTAGCCAGGGAGAGAGAAAGCTACAAAGGCTGTCAGATGTTGAAGAGGTAATGATTCCAAAATGATTTACAAGCTTTGAGATGGTTTCCATTTCTTATTTGTGACTTAAATTCCAGATTTCAGTTAATCACCACAAGCATGACATGCCTAGGTGGTAAACAAACCACCATGCTAGCTTAATTCCCCTGCATTTATTGGTTTGATGATAAAATGCCATTTGATTTTTTCATTTTGTTCTTACTTTGTAACATTGGGCTTACAAGTTGGACTCGTGGAACAAACTCCCAAAAAAGTAAAATTACATATATCTGATTTTTTGGACTGTTTTTTTATTTTTCATCAATGGATTGTCTGGTTAATGGGATTGGGTGGCTTTGAAAAATGAGTTGAGTAAAAATAGTTCAAATGACACACAAAACTCATGTTTGGCCAAAAATTTAAAGTCTGGGTTACCAAACCTGGCCCGCTATTGACCCAGACCTTAAACCCTAGATCATGAGTTTTATCAAACCCATGGGATGGGTTTTGGAAGAGGGTTAATGGATTCAAGATACAAAAAGATAATTATATCCTATATGTATACAAACAAGAGTTTGGATTAGATTGGTGAAAAGACATAATAGTCATTTATATACAAATATATTATCATAATAGTGATATATCCGTGGACATATTAAACATGGGTATGAACTTGATTTAATGTTGAATTTCATCTTTGTAAAGAGGGGTTTGAGTTTGAAAAGGTTTGGACAAATCAATTCAAACCTCTCCCAAAAAATCATCCAAACAACCCCAATAGTAATGTGTTCATAGTATAAAGGTTTTTGAAATCATTACTTTCTAAACCTCGCTAGCATATCGTTTTAGTAAAATAATCATCTACTATCTTGAAATGAACGTAAGTGCATGTCTTCTGTTATTGTGAGATTTAAGAAGAGTTAGATGTACGTAATTTTGATCCCATATGCGGAGCAACTGTTTCTACAACTCAAAACCCTTTGACACCCAGGTGACAACTCGAAGTAACCGTACTACTACTTGAAGACTACACCCTGAATTGTATACTGGGAATTCAAAATCCATGGACTGAACTCAAGTGAAGAGGAACAAGAACAACTCCTGATTGGAAAATGTTATTTTCATAGAATTGATGACACTGATTTGATCC